ACGCCAGATTAGCAAAGTGTGCGGCTGGTGTCATATTGGTCTGCATTCCCCATCAATATGTTTGACATGGCGACTGATATTAGTTCATGTTTGCTGCACTGCTCCAGCTCAAAATGCTGCAAAGGAAATCTACCCTGATGTGAAACATAAATCTGTAAGTCTGTTTGATTATTCTGTGGCTATCCTCAAGGACTCGAATGTGTCACACAAAATAACTTTTGGAATTTTGGAAAAATTAAATTGAATTATAGAATTTGAAAGTAGTCAAACTGAATTTTGAATACAACAAAATACATTTTCAAAGCATGAATACAGATTCAGTTTGATCAATTCAAATTCAGTTTCAGGCGTTTCTGTCCATAAGCCACTAGTGGATGCTGGGGACAGAGCACTACTCTTGTTTTCTTTTCTATGCAGTTAAAATTAGGACAAAACTGTCTTTAAAACTCCTTGCATGCAGAGTACAGTAGGAGTGGCCGATATGAACTTCTAATTTTATCTCTGTATTTTGTGGTATTTATTGTGATGACGAGAAAGTATCGACAAGTTCTTCTCAGTCTTTTAGGAGCTGTAAAGCTGTGACTGCATGTCACTGCTGTCAACGCCCAAGAAACACAAATACAGCTCCTAAAAAAAAAAAAACAAACTCGTGATTCTTATCACTAAGCTGCACACAGTAACTGCATTTAATTATATCGTTGATTTTTTTTTTTTATATTTATTGATGCTCTCATGGAACCAACAATGGAAAAAATAGTTAAAAAAAAAAAACTGACAGTACAGCCAGTTTTGGGGTTTTTCAGGCATCACTAATTGGAAGTGTCACGATAAATCTAAATTCTTATCATTTCACATTTTTCACCATAGCGAAAAATGATCCAATAAATGTCCATCCCTAGTATCTATATTTAAGACTTGGTGCTCTATGGTTGCTGAACCATCTATGCTTTACTTTCACTGCTAATCAGCTAATTCAGGTGTCTGCAATCTGCAGCTCTTTGGACCTTCCACAATGACTTAATAAAGCTGACTAAAATGATAAAAAAAAAACACTAATGTTTTTGATGATGGATAAAATAACAAATGCATGTTTTAACAGATAAAACAATGAATTTCTACGACAGAATGCCACTAAATGGACCCATAGCATTTAAAAAAATCTTGTCATTAGGTTGGAAACTGTACTTGTTTTTGCATCACTTTCTACAAATATCAACATCCTTTAGAAGAAAATCTATCCATCCTGTTTTTGCAAGTTTTATCTTTTTCTTTATTTTAAAGCCTAACAATAGGAATAAAATGATGGTTCATTCAAAATGACAAGATATTTCTTATGGTAGATATTAAGTTGCCTTTTTAGAGAAGGTCAGGTAACATTTGTATTCTTACATGGGTTTTATTTAGCTGGACTGAGGGCAAAAATTACTCTATACATTTTAAAGGTTGCAGACCCCTGAGCTAGACAATCAATAAAAAAAAAAACAGTAACTGAATACAGGTTTAATGGTAATTTCATTGTAAAAGTGTTCTGTGGTAAAATAGTAAAAGATTGGATTTAAGTATTGTCGTTAAAATTGTATGAAGGTCAAATGCACAGTACTTTCTACATTTACGTATTTCAAGTTTTTACAGGACCATAATCTATTAGTGTGCCTATTACTACCTTCGATTAATCAAATTTAAGCATGGTAACCCAGGTAATTGTTTCATCCCTACCACCACTATGATGAACTAGCCTTGCTCAGTGAGACAGAGGAGAAACAAGGGAGAGAAATTGTAATGATACTGACAGTCATTATTCCACATTGATAAACTACTTTCTGCTCAGTTGGGAGCAGTTTGATAGATGCCCTGTGTGCATGCAGTACAAGCGAACATCTCAGAATTACACGCCTGCCTCTTAAAGTGTCTGTGACACGCTTTTCCTACAGAAATTGAAAGAAAACATCTTAATATTGAAGAAATTGGGCTGTAATTGACATATTAGGATTAAAGACAATTGTGACACAAAATAACATATTTCGATGTTAAATTTTGCAAATCCAAAGTCGCCCGTAAGTGACGTGAAAGGGGAAGTTTCCGGTCATAAATGATGTGAGTGTCAATGATAAACTGTTCAGGTAGAAGCCAAGTTGCGTTAAAAACAGCATTAATATGGTGAAATGGTGGCAGCAATACTACGACAGCAGCCGTTAGTCTGCACTGCTTTCCTGAAGCGAAGAGGATCAGCCTTGTTGCAAAAGTACATTTAGATATCAGCAGTTATCGTTTATAATTGAAAATCCCAAATTATTATTAATAATAATAATCATCTAAAATTATTATTAAAATAAGATAAATTACACGTGCATACAATATATTTAAATAAATGTTTCAATAAAGATTCTAATATAAAGTAAAAAAATGACACCAGGTAGCGTCTTCAGATCTTGAATCATCCCTTGTGTCTGCTGTTGCTGCTCCATGCTGATCACTTCGCCTCCGGTTGTTTCATTCAGAGCCCTATTTACTGTAACCTTGGATTTACACTGGATCTGCTCTGGTTCGGTCCGCTGCGAAGCCCGGAAGTTCTCCAAGAACCATACGCCCATCACACAATAAAAGCCAGTGATAAATGCGGTAGCAAGTCCAGAACGAGTCATTCTGTGGAAGTTAAACCAGTTAAACAGCTTTATTTTTCATAATACCTTAGTTAACCCAGTAATTGATCTAGTTAACAACTGCTAATATATACACGTGTATATATAAATATATGCATGTATTTATTAATATACCAAGATCTAGTCCATCTTTAATAAATTATTTGGAAAATCCAGATGTTGTGCTCGTTCTGTTTCCTGGTGGTACGGTATGATTCTTGCATATTGACTCCGGCCCTGCCCTGCCATCTGATGAAAGCTGACTTTCTTCTCCTGACTGCTTCCTCTTTCTCTGATAGTGACTGAAATATATCTAAAGAAACATCAGATTCTTCTCTGCTGTCTGTGGTGCTGGCCATTGCAGCAGCAGTTAGTTTATGTCCTGGGATTAAACCTTTTACGTCATAAAAGAGTGCAAAGGAGTCTGGAAGTGCCTTTTTAGTGAAATCTATGACCATACATGGCAACAACTGTTCATTTCAGCCGCATGAAATTACATTTTGAAATATTTTATTAATGTTTCCTTTCCATAAATGTAACTGGATTTATAATGAAAACTGTCACAGGCACTTTAATGGTACACACTTTCAGGTCATCTTTTAACCTTGTTCTCCAAAGAGCTTTATATGACCGTCACGTATTCTCACACAGTGTTTACAACATGTTACGGAAGTTGCATTGATTAAAGCATTTTTCTCTTGTGTGATCTTGTTACTTTCCATTTCTCCAAAGACAATAACTGCCTTCTGGTCAGTTACTTTTTCCAGTGCACATTTTATTTTTTGGAGGCTTATTGCTAGTTTTGTTGTTTTTCTGTCCTTATCACTGCAGTTCTGGATATGGCACGTCATGTTCCACTGTACAGAGCACTACTGGAGCTGCTGAGGGCCATTTCCACCTACACAGCGCTGGTTCCACTTCTACTTCCTTTGTCCGGAGATCCTGAGCAAGACGAAGAAGAGGAAGATGAAGAGAATGAGGGACAGACGTCGGTAGGCATGCTGCTGGCCAAGATGAAGACATGTGTAGACACTTATACAAATCGCCTCAGGTACGACATGATGCATGCTAGTTTTACATCATCTTATCAGTTTGTTTCAATTTAAGCTTTCTGTCCTGTTAAATAATTACACAGCTCTTGCTAAAATCCATCCTCAGCTAGTTTGCAAAGGTAAATATGTGGTCAAGAAACAAGGTGAAATAAAAATCTTTGGTCTGATGTTACCAGATGAGGTGAAAGAGACAATCAACAACAGTTTCTGCTTTCATTCCAGTTGTTCGTATTTGTTGTAAATCTAAATGAGCAAGAAGCACACAGTGAGACAACATGAGTGTATTTTTTTTGTTCTCCAGGTCAAAGAAAGATAAAAGTAAAGGTGTGGTAAAACCAGATGGCTCTGACCCAGAACCTGAGGGTCTGACCCTGCTGGTGCCTGACATCCAGAGAACAGCTGAGATAGTCCATGCAGCTACCACCAGCCTACGCCAAGCCAATCAGGGTAGATATACACATAAAGAATATCTTTGTAATAGGAAGCAGTTATCTGTACAGCCTGATTTTTAACCCAAAAAGCAAAGAAATGTTTCATGCGACTTAATTTTAGACCTAAGTATCAAAAATGTAATAAACCAGCTAAGGTATTGTTTTTTTACTTTTACTTTCCAGTTATTTCACCCGTGTGGTGTAACAACACATCAAAGAAATCTCCTAACTCTGACTTTTGCTCGACTCACTGTTATTCAAAGTTCAACCAAACTGTTGTGATAAAACCCGAAGAGTTCAGATATCTCTTAATGCTGTCTGCACATCTTTCACAGTTCTGAGATTTCTTTTGACAGCATCTGAAATCCATCCATAGCACCATAGAACAGGCATATAAGCTGCTCTTGTTCTATCAAAGATTGAGAGTTGGAAGAATTCTAAAGGTCAACACAGTCATGTTGAAACTTGTTGTGGACATGGAGTAATAAGGATAGAAAAACAGTTCTTCAACCTGGTCATTAGTCCCATTAAAGAGTCAGAGCCATCAATAAAATGTCCAGTACATGACACATTACTCCTTTCACATTGACTCAAGTACACAGTATTAATGCATACCCATTGCTCCCAATGCTTTCAGCTCTCACCAGAAGATGTTCATGCTTGGCCCACAGAAAGTCGTCTAACTGATCACTTGGGTGGGGTCTGACCCATTAGACATAATGGAAGTGTGCATGTAAGATAAAGGAAGCAGCCAAAGATCATACCTCTTAATGTGGAAAATTCTCTGTGATAAGACCTGTGGACATCATTAATCAGTCAGATTTGTAAGTAGTAAAGCTGGCAACATTGTAGATTACAAAACAGCCTCTGGGGGCACAGTGCTGGTGGTGTAGGGGTTAAGCGCGCGACCATTTGCAGGGGCTATAATCCTTGATGTGGCTGTCCCGGGTTCAAGTCCCGGAGCTGGCGACCTTTGCCGAATGTCATATTAGGACAGATGATTACTGTCAGTTCATCTCTGTGTTCATATGTGTTGTTTTTACTCCTCCATGGTTGGAGGGTAGAATTGCCCCGTTTGCTTGGGTTGTTTTTGCTGCATGTTAACCCTGATCAGATGCTAGGGACATTTAATGTTTTTCTCATTTATTTCCTGGCAATTTTAGCTGGCAGAAGAAATGGCTCAAATTGTTAGAAAACAATTTTTAAAAACATTTAACATTTTCATCTCAATCCCTTAAATAATCCTAATATGGCTGAGTTACACAAAAACCAAGACAGTTATGCTGATGATAAAAACCTTAAAAAGGCAATGTTTGAACCCACATTAATCTCAATATAAACAAAATGCATTCCTTTAATTTAAGATTTAATTTTGGAGCACTCACTATCCATTTTATCTTTGTCCACCCAACAGTAAAACTTTTATCTCGATTCAAAACATCCAGCAAGATTCAAACTCTTTGCCTCGCTACTGAAATAAATCTGTTTGTGTAGCTGTTCACGTTGGATAATGGTGTTTATGTGAGGGGAAAAAAGTGTGTACAGTATGTTTTTTTACAGAAGATAGTTTTTTTAGCTTTGTAAACATATTGGCCTCCAATTTTTTAAATCCCCAGAATATAAATGACAAATATTTGATATGTATAAATCAACCTGTAGTAGTTTTCTAAGATTTGTTTGCATAGAATTCTTGCGGAGGTTTTGGGAAAGGTTACAGTTTTGTCCTCGAGCATCCTTGTCCTCCTTGTGCATTTTTTTAATGCCATCCAACATTGTAGAAATAATAATTGTGCATCTAAATTATTGCTTTTTTATTAGTTTTTTTTGTTTGTTTTTAGCAATAAACTGTGGAATAAAGATAACACACTGACCTTTTTAAATCGTTAAAATTCCCTAAAATAAAATTAATATTTGATGTGATTTTAGGTTAAACTAGATTTTTAAAGAGATAGATAGATAGATAGATAGATAGATAGATAGATAGATAGATAGATAGATAGATAGATAGATAGATAGATAGATAGATAGATAGATAGATAGATAGATAGATAGATAGATAGATAGATAGATAGTATCTTCATATTATATAAATGCATCAGAATCTTTTACAAAAAGGAATTTGATGTACCTGTGATTTCTCTTTTTAATTCAATAGACTGCTGTTTTTCAGTGACGTTTTTCCCCCATTCTCTTTATCAGAGAGGAAGCTAGTTGAATCCTCAAAGAAGGTATCAAGCAGGCCCAAGCCACTGTCTGTTCTCCGCTCCTTAGAGGAGAAATACGTTGCTGCCATGAAGAAACTACAGTTTGGTGAGTTTTAATCTTTGCGTCTGTGGTTTTGTGTTTAATACATGGTGCTAATTATGTCTTTACAACTCCGTGTCTACTTATATTTATGCAACCAAGTTGATACCTATATCCACCATTCTTCTGCAGTACACAGTCACACTGTTTCTCTGCTGTTGGTATGCTGTGTAAAGGCCACATGTTCTAAGGGAGACAGAACCATGCTGCTTTGTCCTGACCATCGCCTTTGTTAATCACTCTTATACGTAATGAATATTTACTCTGGCTTCTGCTATGCAGGGATTCATTTTCTTAAGCAGCTGGATGTTGAAGTCATTACAATGACTGGACTTTAAAAGCTGCTGTTTCAATGTACCAATACAAAAAAAAGAAAAACCTGCTAATCGTTCTGTTCTTCATTCAATCAAACTGTTCAAGGTTGTCTTTTCTTTTTTCAAAACGTTACTTCTTTATTACAATTATTACCTGTAGAGGTGTCCTGTTGCTGGGACGTTCTAACCTCTACCTAAGGGTTTCAATTGGAGCCAACTGGACTCCTCCTCTTGTTTCACATCTCACCCAAAAGGCTTATTCATTTCTGATCAGGAGTTAGGAGTTGAGCTTTCTAGTAAGTGTTTAAATAATTATTCTACAAATGACAACAACCCAACCTACTGACATGTTAGATGTGTAGGTCAGTTCATGTGATGTGAATAGGCCTCTTAGTCTGATTGTTCAAGCCTGGAACTCCTAACCCGCATAGAATAGTGAAAGGCTTTTGAATGAGAGGTTAAATGTCCTTAAGAAATAATAGAAGTCCTCTTTTCTTCTGTTTAAGCACTTAGCATTGTCCCGTCCCGGAGGATTGAGAATCTTCACCAACATTCAACCTAACCACTTTACAAATCTTGACGTAACAGTGTCACTTGAAATGGGAATCGACCTGTTTATATGGAGAAATGAGAGAGACTATTAGGCTGAACCTGCTTTTACCTTTTGCCCCTCACTCTTTGCTGTGAACCCTATGTTTCTAGGGTATACGATGACCCAATTGTTATTAAGTAGAGGGATGGCTAAGGCCTTGTGCATTCGTCTTTAATCTATTTCTGTTAACACATCAGCATGACATTTTAATTGTAATGCACAACACACAACTAGATATGTTAAAAATTATGTAATTTCCCTGTCATGCCACTAGTAGGTGGTATGTACTTGGAACTTAACATCATGCGTATGCGTACAAACACTTGCTTACAAAGGCACCACCACTAAATACACTTTGAGAATGGCAGGGACTGTAATGTTTATATGGACCGATGACGAGGTTCTGCTGTTGCTTCAGGTGACTTCTGTGGGTTTTAAACTCAGCACATGTGCATTAATTTCTACTGATTGCCGTCATTCTGTGCATGTGCCAAGGTGTCCCCATACAGGAAGATTCTGTTTTTCTTTTCTACACAACAGTTGAGACCAGGATGCTTTTAAATCCTTGTTCTCTGGAACCCATTTTTAAATCCTACCATTGTGGCATACATGAACAGTACAAACGCAACATAACCTGTTCTGTTCTAACCAAAAAACGTTGTTGTGTGCACAGGGCCTAAGGGAAAAGCCTTGTCACCTTTATAAAGGGAGACTTCAAGGGCACACTTGAAATCAAGGGGGCAGGAGCTGCACTTGAAAATCCCCCTCATGCTTGTTAACATTTTCTCTGTTGAGAGTGAAGGGGGAGTTCTAGTGCTAACCCTAGAAAGTGGGGTTCAGCTATAACCTACTAACCATCTGCTCCCCACACAGACACGTTTGAAATGGTTTCAGAAGATGAGGAAGGGAAGCTGATGTTTAAGGTCAACTACCACTACATGTCTCAGGTTAAAAATGCCAGCGATACAAACAGTGCAGCCAGGTCACGCCGCCTTGCCCAGGAGGCTGTAACCCTGTCCACGTCTCTCCCTCTGTCATCTTCGTCCAGCGTCTTTGTCCGTTGTGATGAGGAGAGGCTCGACATCATGAAGGTAATGTGTAATTAAACCTGTTATTTCAGATGTGTTGTCAATATGGAGCTGGTGAAAGCATGAACACTTCCGTTAAACTGGTTCTGGTGCTTGTGTCATGATATGTTTTTACCAATCAACAGCTTCACTGACATTTGAATAATATTCCCTCAGCCCATACTCTGATTAATGGCTGAGTTTCCATTCCTAAATGTCAAAATGTCTCCGTTTGACCCAGTCTTGGCAGAATAACATTCAGTAAGTGGTGTGTTTGGTATAAATATAGAAACACATATATGCTCAGATGCTTACATAGAAACATTAGTGTAAAGATACTCTATATATGATAGGGGGTGTAGAGATAGAAGGAGCACATCCATGTCTATGTGATCTATAGGGTCCGCTATAAGTGATGCGGAAGAGTGGTCGTCTGACGAAGAAGAGTTTGTCATTTTGATTCCAGCTCTCTCCCACACCAGTGTCCTTGGGGAGGACACTGAACCCCATGTTGAGAGGGAGACTGTGAGTGAATGTGATTGGAATGTCCTGATCAGGATTTTTGCCCTCAGTACTGATCTGAGTCATTTAATAGTAGCATCGGTTGATATACAGTGGGGAGAACAAGTATTTGATACAATTCAAATTTTGCAGGTTTTCCCATTAGCAAACCATGTAGAAGTCTGTACTTTTTATCATAGGTACTCTTTGAGTACAAGTGACAGAATCTAAAACCAAAATCCAGAAAATCTCGTACTCGTACTCGTCGTCTTCCGCTTATCCGGGACCGGGTCGCGGGGGCAGCAGACTCAGCAGAGACGCCCAGACGTCCCTCTCCCCAGACACCTCCTCCAGCTCCTCCGGGTGGAGCC